ACTAAGAACGTTGTCACATAGAGCACGACACTACTTACAAAAATATTTAAAAATTTTATATATAATTATTAAATATATAAATAAACAGATTAAATAATTCATCTGTATATCAATAGTATCCAAATATCATACAAAACGTAATTTAAACTAGCAAATTCAAAACGCACTCTAAAAAAAAAGAAACTGCAATCACTCTAATAAAAAAGTAAGCCACGTTTCGAGCTCCCGCTGAAACCGCGCGCATTTTAAAAAATTAACGAGACCGCATCCTTGTCAGCGAGCGTCTGCATACTAAAAACTACGTTGTTGATTACATAGAATCGATAAATTATTCAATAAGCTGTATATTAACGTTATAATTAAATATTTTTTGAGTTTCAATACCTAAGTACTAGGTAATCGGGTAAGTTGTACATACATATTTTGTGAATAATGTAATTGTGTTCTTTTACAGGCCGTAGTTAATATTCTAAATAAATTTATGTTGCCTTACACCTCGACTGCCTCATGTTGATAACTTTATATCGTTACCCCTCAACAACAATCAAGGTGACAACTGATCACCATTCTCACACCAGCTCTTATTGAATTTCTAGGAAGCAAGTTCCGGACTTGAAAAGAACAAACACTACTACTCTGCCTTCTCTCGTTCCTGATATTACTGCTACTGCCCTGCTATTCCTGACAAGCCTGCCAATTTTGTTCTTACGTTCGTGTTTTTTCTTCCATATCCTGCACCTACCTCGATCACTTTTTTTATTGTATATAGTTAGTTTTAAAATATAAATTTTACTGAATTGTGTAAGTTTTATTGCTCAGACTGATAACAACGTAGCAGCATTATTATAATGTAAGTCAATGGTAATAATAAGATACATATATGACGAACAAAGGGCCAATAAAGACGTTTAAGTGCGGAAAATTGCAAGTCCCATTCCTAGTCCACGTACATATTATTTGCAATATATAGTTAAGTATATAAAGGAAGATGCCGCCAAACCATAAACCGCACCAAACAGTCGCTCTTTGTGGGTACATTGACTTTCGACAATCACTCTTGGATTATCATTCGCCCAAATGCGGCAATTCTGCTTATTGACGAATCCACTGAGGTGAAAATATGCCTCATCACTGAAAATGATTTTCTTCGAAAATTGATCATCCACTGTTGCCATTTCTTGACACCATTCTGACCATTGACGTTTGGAATAGTCGAGAGGCTTTAGTTCTTGAGTCAATTGCACTTTGTAAGCGTGTAAATGCAAGTCTTTATGCATAATATTCATCAACGACGAGCGTGAGAGGTGCAATTGTTGGGCACGACGATGAGTAGAGGTGGGCGGCTCTTCAGCCACACTATCGCAGCAGCAATATTTTCTGCAGTACGAGCACGTACTGGTGTTTCCACATCTTCTACAGACCCAGTTTGCTCGAATTTTTGCACGATTTTAACGATTATACGTACATTTTGCCGATTAAATTGACGGATTATATCACAAAGTGCACGATATCCATTTTGATTTGTACGCCCATTTTCATAATAAGCCTAAATAACTTAAACGCGTTGCTCGATTGTGTATCTTTCCGTGGTTCAAATTGAGTTAGTCTGAAATTGAGAAAAGTCAAACGAAATGCAAAAAAAACTTGACATTTAGGTGTGGTTCACATTCAACATCGGCCCCTAAAATTTAACCATCCAATAGTGGAAGTGACATTTTACTGGAACAAAAACAAACCAAAGTAGGTACTTTATTATTGTTATTGCTTCTGGCAACAAACGAAACGAAAATTGATAAATACTGATAGAAAGTATTACGTATAAGTCTATTATTACTAAATACTACACTGAACTAAGCATTAAGTGACCGATGAATGCTAAGAAAATTCTTTGTATACAAACGTTACTTACATTTATCTAAATTTACTTATATTGTACTGAAACCTCGTATATTAGGTAAAATCAAGAAAATCTCAATTTGATTTCTAAATGAAAATTTATAGCGTTAAATATCCACGGCCGTTTTATCATTAAATGTGTACAACATTTTGTGCTCTGGTCATTATACAGAGCAAACAGAAGCGTTGTCCCAGGAAAATAAATATTAATGACCCCCGGGTACAATATGCTAATGTTAGCGAATATTTTGTTACGCAATCCCGAGTGATATTTCATCGTTATCAGCTGATATTGAATGTATGCACTTAACAATATCAATGTTTAAGCTGGTTTCATAAAAATCCTCGTATTTTATTGTTGTTGCAATTGTTAGAGTTTTCCATTTTGTGAAATCTTTTTTGATAATCATATATGTAATTTTATTGAAACTACATTTTCAAGTACTAATAAAATTTAATATCAAACAAATTACGAATATATAATGCCCTCTGAAAATTTAAGTATAATTAACTAGTAGCTACTGCGTACCTACTAATTATATTCTAATAGCATCAATTTTTTAAATGTTACTAAAATTATAAGGCCTTTTTAATCACTAAGCAGTAATCACTTGACTAGCTTTTAAGTTGGAAATAGAAAATATGGATTTTAAGTGGCTTAAATTAAAAAGCAATATGCACAACTGAGAACAACAGAATTCGAGAGCGTCTTTCATATTTATTTATTACAAAATTTAAACAAGCTATTGTTCAAACTGCACGCGAAGTAGATGAAAGTTACAACTACTTGAGCATTTCGACAGTTTCTCCAGATCTATCCAGTTGAAGAAATATATCTAACAAATCCGAAAGAGAAGAGGAAAAATTGTAAGGAAAGAAAATTCTTACTCGTCATTCTTTATGGTATTGGTTATCGCCATTCATAGCCTATAAAATATTGATTATCCTATATCAGCCGGTACCGGCGCCGAAATGATACAATAACTTGAAAGTATAATTCAGAAGTAGACGACATAAGATATTAACAACTGCCATTTCACGATTTATGACTTCTTGGCATGTTTTCTGATGTAGAAAAGGTTTTATTTTAATATATCATAATTAATATTAAGATATTAATCGAATAAAAGATAAGTAAAGATATCAACAAAAAAAAATGCATAAGAAAAGCAGATAAAACGACAAAACAAATTTACAAAAATGATAGAGACATCAGATGCAATAATCAAAGCTTATAAAGAACTAATAAATAAATAAAATATACAAAAAAGTTAAAAAACAATTATAAGAAGACCTGACATTATTAATAAAGCTACTTTATTTTATAAGGAATTATATTTTAACAAAAAACTGGAAATTCCGAAGAAGACCTCGTAAATTAATCAAAGGACTTTTGAAATCAGGCACTAATATGGTCAAGATTCTTATAAGTGAAATTGAACAAAAAAAATTGTACCTCCCAAAAAATTGCTAAAACGCCGGGTGAGGACAATATCACAAACGAAGTTTTAAAATCACTTTCCGTACAACAATGCACGCCTCTACAAATCTTATTTAATAAAATTCTAACGCAAGGTTCAATCCTTCAACAATGGTGTAACTCAATCATTATATTACTTCACAAAAAAGGAAGTAGAAACGATCTCAACAATTACAGGCCAATCAGCCCATGTCCAACATATACCACATATTTTCCGGGATATTACTGAATAGATTAAAAATCTATTAGACGAACAACAACCACGGGAACAGGCAGGCTTTCGTAAAGGATTCTAGACCTTTATATACCTTTATATGATCTATTCTAAAATAGATCATATAAAGGTGATACAGAAAGCTAAAGAATACAGGAAAACTCTATATTTATGTTTTGTTGACTACCATAAAGTTTTCGATTCATTGCACCACTGTGAAGTAGAATGGCGATACATAAAGCTGCTGCGCAAAATATATTCAAACATGATTGCGAAAGTCAAATTAGAAAGAAATGGAACAAAGTTCTATATCGAGAAAGGTGTCAGGCAGAGTGACCCTATTTCACCAAAACTTTTTTCACTCGTTTTGGAGTCGTTATTCAGAATACTCTACAGAGCTGGAAGAAATGATAAATGACTTAGCTAATGTAAGCAAAAAAATCAGCAAAAAAATAACTAATGAAACAATAGAGGACATAGTAGTTGACATCCAAAAAATAGAATATATAAATGATTATATATTTGGGACAAATCATTTCATTTGAAAACTGTACAAGTAAATGAAATTCACAGAAGGATAGCTATTGCATGGAAGAAATACTGGAGTTTTAAATAAATTATGAAAACTAGAGAAATACATATCAATGTGAAAAAATAACTATACGATACTACTATCCTTCCCTGCTTAACTTATGGTTGTCAATGCTGGTCCTTCAAAAAAAAAACGAAAACAAACTAGCCATAAGCTAAAAGAAAATGGAAAGAAGTGTGCTAAAATCGTGAATTCAAAAATCCGCAACAAAATAAAACTAACAGATGTCATAAAAACCATGAGATCTCTCAAATGGAAGTAGGCAGGGCACGTATGTAGAACAGATAGTAATAGATGGACAAAAAAAGTAACTGAATGGATACCGAGAGATGAAAGAATAGGAAAAGGTAGACCGAAAAAGAGGTGGGAAGACATTTTTATAGAAAGGGCAGGACCACACTGGATAACAAGAGCCAGGCAAAGAAATCTATGAAAAACAATGGGGGATGGGGGAGGCCTACACCAAGGAGGCGACTACTATTATTGAAAACTTATATAAGTAAATAATATAATTAAGACTATTATAATAATTGGTAAATATATAGTTAAATATAATAAATCAAAAAATGTATAAAATTGATTAATTATGATGGAAATGCTTCTGTGATATAGTAGTTATAAAGATTTATTTTATTTATTTATAATCGAATAAAACAAATGAATTTGGTCTTATGTCGAAAAATAAAGAGTTTTATGTTTTAAATATACATATATTCATCATGTTAATTAGTGTCCATTGCATCTCATTTTGGAGTTCTTGACTTATTTAATTAGCTCTTTTGTTTCAAATTGGTCATAAAATATCTATTAACACTCACCTTAACCGGTGAAGATGACAACCAAAGCTGGAACAGATCTGACGTCACTGACGTACTTCGTGCCTCGTGTCGCGGCCTTGGGGACAAAGGTCCGGATGATGTTATATTATGAATCCTATTCACTTCATCCGAGCCGGCACATTCCTTTAAATACCTCTCCAAAACTTTTGGCTTACTGTCTAATATTTTTTTCAACTCTAATAAGTCTTCATCAGTGCAATCATCAGGTGAAGCTCGCTCTATGACCTCTTTAAATTCATCGGCACATTGCATAATAAGTTCATTTGTAGCTAATACGTCAAACACAACCTTATTTCCTAAATCTTCTGGACTAGAGCCATCACACACTTTGAGGTAAACATCGTTGTCATCACATGTTCGCTCTTGCTCTCTTTCACAACCGTTTTGTTCTGTGAATTCAACGATCGTGATTGGTGGATTTTCTTTCAACATGTTGTTGTTTTCATGGTATTCGGGCTTTTTAATTTCTTCTGGAAGTTCATAAACAAGCCTCATTAGTTCTTCTGATCGTTTTTGTCTTATGTCTATGTGATTTACTACTTTTTTGGTATCTGGTAACTCTTCTGCGAATTTCGCACAGTCATCGGTTTTTTTGGCTTCAGGGCTTTTGGCAACGGCATCAATAGGTTCTTCGGAGGTCATGGCTAATTTAGTGGATTGTCTTGGGGAGGATAGAGCCAATTGTGGTAATTGTGGTGCCCCACATTTCTAGGATCAAGACCTGAAAATAAATAAAACAAAGTTAAATCCATGCCTAATAAGTATTTATTAATAAAATATTACTTTTGTTAAGGTGACAAAATTAAATTTAATGTATATAACTAATATATACGCATAATTTGGAGAGATTATCTATTAATATTCTAAACATTTACCTCATAGTTTATGTGACTATTTATTAACTCTTTATTGCTTAAAATAAAACACTTTGCTCAATATAAAACGAATTGGAAATGCATACTACCATATACAATAACGATTGTAAAAATTCATTTTATCGATTTTTGTAACATGTCACCAATAATAAGCAATATTTAAAGATATTTCTCTGAAACACTTCAACTTACAACTAATGTGTTCTAATGGAAACTAGAAACAACATTAACATTTTTTTTTTATTCTGTTCTTAATGTTAGTAAGACGATACTCTTGTCTGGCATATATTAAGGTGCGAATATTATAATTGGTATAATGCGTGTCTGTTCTCTGTTGACACATACTACCTTCTTTAACATTATTCTAAGAAAACGTTATTTGGGTAGGGCTTAGTGCTACGGTTTCTAATTTACATTATATCGACATTTCTTAAGATGTCGATATACATTAAAACATATTTAATAATTATTATATTTAAGAATCATGATCATTTTATAAGGGCGAAAAATAACAACACTGACTGGTAAAACAATAATAATAATAAGGAATAAGAAAGTTATCAAAAGCAACTGTAGATCTACCCGTGACCAACAATTGAATAGGAGAGACTAAACGAAATTATCCCTTTCCGGAATAGTTTTGGGACAGAGCAGTCCATCTGATTTAGGATAGACGTTGTTTTTGTCAACGCTTCGTAAGCACGATTTGTGCTCTAATATATTTCTTTTATAGGAGATTAACACTTAAGACCCACTGTTTATGGAAATTCCAAAGAAAAAAATCATAGTTCTGTGATAGTGTGTTGAATGTAGTACATGAACCTAATGAGTGGTCACGAATCGAAATCTTTAATTTTTAACAATCGAAAATGCTTCATTCGTATGAGTAATATTTTTATTTTACTGTAGATCATTATGAACAATGACACTCGTAGCCATGTCAGATATATTAATGAATCATTTCTTTTCTAAAAGCGTAATCATTCAAGTTGAGATATTTTTCAGTCGCAACGATGACAACGGTGCCAGGGTTTATATATTTTGTATGTTTGTTTGCTCCAAAACCACTGAACCAATACCGAAAATTAACGCGGGCAAAGTCAAGGGCCATTCCGATATAATTTTTTAAATCATCAAAGTTTTTACTAAACTTTGGTGTAAAAAGTGAAGGATGAAGTAGTTACTAAACTGCATAGAACTATAGATAGTAACAATTATCGATAAAACTGCTGTATCGTCCCTAACCCCTTTATGATATGACATTATTACTCTCCTTCACAATTCCATTCCTAGTATTGTCTATCACGTCTCTGTTATTTTGACCATTAGGGAACTTTTTGCGAGGTTGTTTTCATAGAATATTGGAGTTAGCTGGGCACAAAACGATGTTTGTGACGTTGGATTTAGCCATTGTTGTATTGTGAGTATCAATTTTGTTGCATAGACGGTGGAATTGGGGCTCGTTTATTGAATTACTTGGTAATTTCTACCTAATATTAAGATAACGGTCTAGTTTACGAGGAATCGATGATAAACAAAAAGCTCAGCTTATTGTAAAGCAGATTTCAGACAAGGTTGGGTCATTGTAAAAGGCAAATTTTGCCATTCTTTGACAAGTGTAATAGAATTTTAGAGCGATAATTGATGTATCATAGAAGTACCTATATATTTGTAATGGAGTCTTATAAATCTAAAGAATTTTCATAAGTTTTTTTTTTTAAAAACTGAAACTACTACTAGCTGCAAAATAATGTGTACTTTAACTAATACAAGTCTGCCGAGAATCCGTATAATAAATGATACAATGGTGATTTTTTTTAATGCCTTGCAATCGTACGAGTAGCCATGATTTATAAAGTACCGTTTTTAAAGAACAAAATGATTTGGAATAGATAAATAAAATACAAAAACATATTTTTCAGTCTAATATGAATAAGTTTTCTTATGTTATCAGTTCGTAATTCCATGGAGAGATCTTGATTCTCACCAACAAAGGTTGTATTTTTTTCAGCCCAAGACTACGAATTAGTCTGTTAAAAATTTTGTATCAAGATTTACCCCTGAGGTACACAAATGTTCAGATTTATATTAACAAGCCAAAATAATAAATAACATTTGTCGTTGGCTGAAAACAATAAGTACAAAGTAAAATATCATCGATAATGAAGTCTCAACTCAGTTCAAGTTTTTTGGAATGCTAAAATAAAAGTAAATTTAGCAATTTCTCTTAAGTGTTGATAAATAAGATGTACCTAGTAAATTATACTGAGTTTAACGTCACTTTATGAAGCTCCAGTAATTGATATTTGTAAGAATAGAAGTTTTAATGCTCGCCATCACCCTAATGGCGAAATGACGACGCAAATGACTACTAATAAAAAGTATGAATACATAATGATTTTCTGACGACAGGCCGTTTTTTTAATAATTTACTTGCCTTATCCATGTCAAAGATTCTACAAATTACGTCTTTTTCAATCTATTTCTTTCGCATGTATCATGGGAAGAACATGTATTGTTATGTGATACATACCAAATACTGAAGCTTTTCGTCATTACATTGTTCTTAGTTAATAGATGAACTCTGATACTAACAAACGAAAGACGAAACATCGGTGCGAATTCACATAGAAACGGGTTAAATAGTTTTAATAACGCAATTAATAATAAATTTACTAATTATTCTGATAAAAGGACGTCCGTAAAGTAAAATTTTGTAAGCATAATTGTTTTACTTTTTGGAAGATATTGGAATGCTATGAAACATATATCAATTAACATAAAAAATATGAATAAGCGATATTAGCATTTGGTGTGGTTATTAACTTGCTTATGAAGCGGTACTATGATATTTAACAATACATTTTTGTCTTAGACAGCTTTTCTATTGGTTGTTTATTTTTCAATTTTCATTTCCAGCTCTTTTATTTGTAATTTCAACCAGTATCCGACAAAGATACAACTGGAACAGCAACCTTCGTCGTAATGTAGTAATAATAGCGAACATTCAAGCTAAGCGGCGAAATTATTACTAATGAATATCTGATGAGCTTGCCTCCATTTTATTCCTCATTTAGTAAATATTTATGTAGACGATACGATACTACAAGACCGTTACTTATACCGGAGGTAAATAAAATTATACATAAAACTTATATTTATTAACGTTTAATATATTTCAAGCAATAGCTTTGTTCATCAATTGCTAGAAAAAGTTTTAAATGTTTGTGTAATGCGAAATAACGACAATATTTAGCTCTTTAAATCCATAATAAATATTTTGCATGTATGCACACTTATTAAGAGATATGCATGCATACAAAGTATTAAGACCTCAATTTCTGCCATTCAAATTTAAAAAGAAAGTTGTTTTGTAATTTCTTTCATTTATTACGATTGATTGCATTGCTGTATTTCTACCAACCATATGATAACTAATATAAAGGTACTTGCCATCTACAAAAGGTCCTCCTTTCTACAAAAATAAACTTGTTTGTAACTAAGAAAAATTTAATAATCGACGTTAATATATGATTATATGGTAAGTTTTAAATTATTTTTGCAATAATTAAGTCACATTATCAAAATTAGTTTCAAAACGTTGTTTAATCGGTTTGCTATTGGCAACCACCAATCTATTTACTTTAAGTAACATGATCTCTTAATTTAAGTAAACTATTCAAATCTTAAAAGATATAAAAATATTGGTTTGGAGGAATTCGTGTCTGGCCATGAAAGCGCTGTTTAAGACTCTCGACCGTGATGACTGCCAAAAACATACAAACGAAATACATTTGTATTTTAACTTAATTAATATATGGAATGCAAAATAATAACAAAGATTTACTTAGGACCAGAAGATAAATACATAACTACTAAAAAATTACTGTCTTTAATCGCCAGCGATGGATACTACACATTACATAAAATTGTACGGTATGTGAGGCAAGCCTTATTATTACGAATGACTGCAAAATCTTCTCAAATGGCGACACATTTCTTTTGAATAAATTAATGTCTTACTTTATTTGCTTCCAAATTACAATGTTCAAGTTACTCTTAAGTAAATACGGTTGTATTAAGTAAGATAGCTTTATTTTTATTAGAGGAATGATCAGTTAGCTTATTTGAATATACGGGTGTATTCGAGGGTGTATTATGTAGAAGATAGCCATTTGCAAAAGAGGGACGATCTTTTTCCTTTTACATTTTATGCTTACATACTGATTGCTGCAGCTCAGACTTTCCATATGGATGAAATCTAATCGAATAGGGAGAATGGGCCATGACCCACCGTTTGGGCCCAGTGCAGATTGGTGACCAATAGCATAACATATTTTCTGGAGCACGGAGGAGTTCGAGGTTTTACGGCTTTTTAGTATAGTTTTCTAATTAGATAATTTTTTCTGTAATTTCAGCACCAAATTTATTTTAAATTTATTCACCGGTTTGGCCATAAAGTGTAACAGATAGACATATTTTTGCATTTGTAAAGTCTTCAACTGTTGTTCAAAATTATCCAATAGTGACAACTTTAATTATTATAATTTTATATCTTTTAATACAGAAAGTACCCGTTTCACCAACAATTCGCCACGGGACATTTTATACATTAAATAAATAATGTACCAGAACCGCAAACTTCCAATAGAGTAGTGAAAATTGATATGTCCCAGTAAACAAATGTTACAATGCTTTTATCCTTGAGAAGAACAGTGTCTTCAAAAGCGGCACTTTAATATTCTAGTCTGTCATCGATCGCACATT